ATCAATAGTAAATGGATATCCGGATAAATTCAGATATGGATAAATGGATGACGGATTTATCCGGATTGGAACTCTACGCTTTTAAAAAAATTCTTATTGGACAGAGCCTTCTTTTATTAATTTGAAAGGTGTCGCACGGATTGTTACGTGCAACAATATAGTTATTGTATGGGATTGCATAAAATAACTAAATTTGCAAGGGTCAACCCGTTTCACATGGCCTTCGTCATGTGGAACTGGTTAACCCGTGCAAATTTAGTTAAATTCGGTTTAAATTCAATTCGGTTTAGTTTAAACAGTTAACCTATATATAAATCCATCCGGTTTTGAGTTTACAACCGGTTCCAATCTCTACGTCAAGCACGTATTACTTAATTGAAAAAAGAAAATAAGACATAAATGCAATACGTAGACTTTATTTAATTATCGTTATTAAATGCTAATAAATATTAAACGTCGAATTGTAGTTTCTTATACGTACATGAGTTAAAGATAAATACATATTGACAATTTTTTTTTTGTGATTTTCGGAAGTTCTATACATAAGTTCTAATAATACAAGTATATATATGAAATATGAATTTTATAAACAAATAAATATAAATATAATATCGTATAGATATTGAATTAAGGGATAAATAGATAAAGGATTTAAACTTAACAAAATTTTTAAACAATACAAAGATAAAACCAGCCGAAAAAAAATATTAATGGGCATATTCGATTTTGTAACTATAGTAGTTGCGCAGTAATTATAACCCTAATACAATTTTGTGCACGTAAAGTTACGAATTGAATAGGACCCTTATTAAAAATTTTTTAGTTTAAACAATTTTTTCCATGAAGTATAAAAAATTATGTATATATGTTTAACATGGAATGGAAAAATTTTTTGTCATCCGACCGAGTAATATTATTTATATACGTGACATTAGTATTCTTAATCATATTTTCATACTCGTTCATCATCAAAAAAAGGACTTTAGCAAGGTTAAATTTTCGTTTGGTTACCACCTACACCTAGATTCGAAGCACCTTTTGCTAGTTGATCTAATTCATCAGTCAAAGCATTTATCAAATTCGAATCTCTTGGACTTTTTGTATCTTTAATGTTATCTTCTATATTTCGATAACCATCTACAGTATTTTCCATTTGATCCAATAATATAGTGATTCTATTTTCTGAATCATGTAATTTTCGTTCCAATTCCGAATTTACTTTTTCAAGTTTACTATTAGTAGAACGAATCATATTAATTTGATTTTCTAAAAATTTCTGTTGTACAGTCCAATTATCTTGTTTATTTCCACTTGCAGGTTGGCCATCTAATGCTTCATTCAATTCTCTATTTAATTGTAAAGCTTCATCCAAGTCATCCTTAGTTTGTTGATGTTCCTTTATTAACTTTTTGTATGAAGTTTCCACCGACTTCTTTTCTTCTAATAATTGATCCATCTTTTGTTGAATTTCGGATAACTCTTTATTAAAATCTTCTCTTTGTAATTCGAGTTGTTTATTAGCAAATTCATGGATTCTGGATTCTCGAGCACCCATACTTACAGATGTTCGATTCTGTACTTCCAATAATTTTTCTTCCAATTCTTCATTACGTTTTTGCATAGATTCAAGTTGAGTTCTTAATTTCGTTGCCTCAGTTTTACTATTTTGTAATTCAACTTTTAGACGTCTCAACATTTTTTCGGTACCTTGTACATAATGCATAGCAGTATTATAATCATTTACAGATTTTGATAATTTCTCGCCAACTTCGGTAACGTGTCTTTGTAATTCATGATTTCTCATTTCCAATGCATTTGTTTTCTCAAGTTGTTTTTCAAGTGCTTTTAATTTATTTTCAGCTTCTTGAGCTCTTTTCGATGCTTCTTGATAATTCTCTATGGTTAATTTAAGATCACTTTGAGTTTTCGCATGCACCGCTTCTAATTTTTCACATTGTGCAGCCATTTCCTTAACTTTATCAGCACCTGAATTTCCACTACCATCATCCAAAATTCCACGTTCCGACATTACATCTCTCATCATTCCAAGTTTAACTTGAGTATCTTCAAGAATACGAGATTTTTCATCCAAGATTCGTTCTTTTTCACTTAATCTTGCTTTTATTCGTATAATTTCATCTGAAGCATCAGCCAATTGTCGTTGTAAAGCCGTATTTTCAGATCTTGCTTTCATTATAATAGATTCCATTTGTACAATTTTAACTTTAGCACTTAATAAAGAATTAGCAGCTTCATTAGCGGATTTTTGAGTTTCTTCATTAATATTCTTTAATACAGCAATTTCTTGTTCAAGTTGAACCATATTTGAATTATCAATTGAAATATTAGGAATATTTTCCACAGAATTATTTAATAATTTTTTTACATCATCTTCCATCATTTCACGAAGAGTAATATTTGCTTTACGTTCTTCTTCCAACATTTTTTCCAAATTATTAGCTTTTTCAGCTGAACGACTTAAATCTCTCATTCTAACATCTAATTGAGATCGAAGACCTGCCGATTCTTTTTCCAAATTTGCAATATCTTGTTGAGCTTGTTTCCATAAATTTTCCGATTCATTTGCACGTTTACTTGCAGTTGTCATAGCACTATTTGCTTTTTCAAGAGTTCTTTTAAGATTATCAACAGATTGTTGTAATGAAATGATTTGTAATTGTGATTGTTCATTAATATTTTGTAATTTTTTTAATTCTATATTCGAATTTAATAATTGACCTTTATTTTCTCTTAATTCGGTTTCTGCAGCTGTAGCTCTTGAATGTAAAGCAGCTAATTCTGTTAATGATCTTGCATGAGCATTTTCTGCATCTTCAGCTCTTTCAAGAGCAGTTTTTGCACGTTCTTCAGCTGATTCTCTGGAAATTTTTTCATTAGTTAAATCTTGTTGTATTTGTAAAAATTGTACTTGAATAGATTCTTTTTCATTTAATGAATTTGTTAAACGTTTTTCTAATTCTGTAGCTCGTTCTGATTCAATTATTACTAAATCGGATTTTGATTGATTTTTAAAAGCTGCAAGTTTGGCTTTAAAATATGCTGCTTCTTGAAGTGCAGCTGTTCTGATTCGTTCCGAATCTGCAATCTTTTGTGATGCAAGTTGTGCTTGAGTTACTATGTTTGCCTAACATTAAAAAAGATAGATATATATATATAGTTTAATTTAAAAAAACATATGGTTTAATTTTAAACATGTGATTATTGTATATATACGTAATAATTTACCTTTGATTTTAATAATTCCTGCCTGATTTTAGCAATACTTAACAAGAGAGGAAATTTTTCTGAATCTTTATCAGTATGATCAATTAATTGATCCAAATCAACTTTTTCAGATTTATCACCTTCAAAATCAACTTGATCTATAGTATAACCAATTTTTCTAGCTATTGCCAGTTCAGCACTTAACCACATTTCACGTTTTTTTAAAGTTTGAATTAATATATCTCTTTGTTCAAGTTCTCGCATAAATTCATTATATTCCATATTCATTATATTAGCTGATGAATGATCAACAGTATCGGAGATTCTAGAATGACCATCGGTTGGTAAAGTTGGGGAAGATATAGTACTTTCTACATAAGAATTTGGACTTTTAAGATAATTTAAGGATTGATAAATTGTATTTTGATATATTCCTGGTGGATAATTTCCTGATATAATGATATTTTGATTAGTACCAAAACCATCAGGTTGTATCATATATCCACCTAATGGTTGTGGAGCTGAACGAGGATTTATGAAATCGTTTGGAGAATAAAATTCAGGTTTTCCAGAATATACAGGAGCACCTTGCATTTGAACAAAAGTACCATTATTATTGTTGTTGTTATTGTTATTATCAAGAATCTCTATATTGCGTTGTTGACGAATATTGGTAGTTTGAGAAGTTTCGCGTAAATTTTCCAAGCTACGTTCACCTCGTAATCTCATTACGGTAGGATTGTTATATGTACTATCAGTACTAATTCTATTTTTGTGAAAAGTTTTTGGAGAAGAATCAGAGTTGCTACGTTGATTATCAAAGTGGTTCGGAGACTGACGAGCAGCAACTGGAGAGGAATTTTGTCTTCGAATATTTTCTATATTAACGTTTGATCGTAATTGAGGAGAATTTGAACGTTGTCGTTCCATATATATAACGTTTTCCGGAATAGGGCCTCTGTTAACATCAGCAGGTAAACGTGATCTCGTGTCATCAATTTTTTGAGATCTATGAATTGGACCTTGACGTGTATTTGGTAAAACAGGAGATTCTAAAGAATCGGTGGAATCAGACATTTGATAGTTCGTTGGAGATTGAACCATTCTATTATCAGATGTAGGAGAATTAAATCCGTAAGGAGAGAAATCTTGTCTCGGAGATGTTGGAAGACTTCTCTGAGAAAAAGATTGTTGTTGAGTAGGGGAAGTTAAAGG